TGGGACTTAGTGGTCGGGCCCGTGGGCCTTGATCCAGTGGCAGTGTTGGCGAGCACGGCCAAGGACAAAAAGGGACTTGGTGGGGACTGGAATGGAGATATTGAGGAAGGCTAATCCCCATGTCTATGGGCATCTTAAGGATGCTAAGGAGTGGATCTGGGATGATCACTCGTGGATGGATGGCCCAGTTTTTGAGTGACAGGACTGGGATGTAGGTGGTGTCAGACCATCGTTATGACCAAGGTGAATGGACATGGCCTTAGCGTAACAGGCTGATATGTTGGTGGTACCTTGGGGTGTCGGTCATGGGATCGGACACGTGGAGCACTTGGACCAAGTGCATAGGTTGAGTGGCGGGGATGCCATTCTCAAGGCTAGTAAGCCCAAGTCCAAAATAGGACTTACGGAGGTTGTGAGTGAGACTCCTCCAAGTGGTCGGAGGTGCTGTTAAATGACTAAAGTAAAATGGAAAAATTAGTCGCTTACAATGGAGCACTTGGACTAAGTGTAAAGGTTGGGTGGCATGGATGCCATTCTCGGGGATAGCAAACCCCAAGTCCGGAATAAAATTTATAGAGGTTGTGAATAAAACTTCTCCAAGTGGTCGGAAGTGCGATTAAGTGATTAAAGTATAATGGAAAAATTAGTCATTTACAACATTGCCATGAATGGAGATATATTATTAATACTTTTATGAGCAAGGTAAGTACTTTTCCTATACTCTCTATTGAATTAAGTTTCCCACAAAAGACCTTTTAACAGCTGATTTATGTGCTTTGTTTGCCCATTGTGAATAGTCACCATTACTTTTAACTTAGTGTGTAGCTTCTCAAAGACTATTTGCCAAAACTAGGACATGAACTTGGGATCCCAGTCATTTACAATATTACTTGGCAAATCATAGAGATTGAATAACTGATTTACAAATAATTGAGCAAATTCAAAAGTTTTAATCATTATCTTCACTAAGAAGAAGTGAATTAATTTTGTCAAACAATCCATAACAACCTAAATAACATCATTTTCTCGAAAGGTCTTAGGCAAACCAATGATAAAGTCTATCAAGATGCTATCTCATTTGTTCTTGGGTACATATACTTGATGAATTTGTCAATACAAAGAACCACTACATGACCCTTCTTCACTAGGATTCTATCTTATATCTTGAATGATGCAAACTTGTAACCCTTCAAATTTGTAAAGGCATCTCTCAAAAAAACCTTTGTGCAAATATCAGTGATAAAAGAGTTAAAGTTAGTAAACTCCTTAAACTCATCTAAGAGATCATTGTATAATTTCCATTTCTTCACAGCATCAATTATAACATATAACTCTTTATCTTGAGTAAGCTAATTCCACTATGTGGCATCAAACTTATGGCTCATATACATGAAAGGATGCCCAAGTTGAAGCAAGACAGCCCCAATAGCAAAATCACTCGCATTTATCTTGACCACAAAAAGCTTCTTAGGATCAAAATATTCAACACATGAGCAAAGACACAACACTGCTTCAAAAGCTAAAATGCCACTTAATGTTTTTCATCCCAACTACAAATAGTAGCATGTTTTGATATGTTTTAGAGAAGATCAGTCAAGGGAGCTATTATCTCTGAAAGCCCTTCACAAATCTTTAAAAAACTTTAACCATACCAAGGAAACTACGAAAATCATGCACTATCGAAAGTATAGGCCAATCAACTATGACCTAGATTTTTGCTAAATCAACTCTCACTCCATGCATTGAAATTAAATGCCCAAGATATCCAATCTCCTCCAAGAAAAACTCATATTTAGATAACTTTAAGTAGAGCTTGTTGTCTCCTAAAAGTTGCAAAACATTTTATATATACATCTCATATTCCTCCATTGAAAAGTTAAATAATAGGATATTATCAAAACAATTAATTGCAAACTTTCTTAGGTAAGGGTATAGAACTTAATTCATCAACCCCTGAAAAGTTGCAAGGGCATTTGTCAAACAAAACAGCATTACCAAAAACTTATAATAACCCATCTTTGTTTGAAATGTGATGTTTGGAACATCCTCTAGCTTGATATAAATTTGATGATACCCTTACCTCAAATCAATTTTTGAAAAATATTGAACACTAGAAAGATGATTAAGTAAATCATTGATATGAAGGATTGGGAATATATTTTTCATTATTCTTATCATTCAATCCTTTATAGTTCATACAAAGACACCATATATCATCTTTCTTCTTGACCATCACCATTGGAGTAGCCTAAAGAGATTTGGTTATCTGTAAGTAAGATGGCTTCTAGTTATCTGTAACCCCTTTCAAAGGTACTCAAGAAGCTACCTATTAATCTCCCATCTTTAACAAGACTAGTATAAGTCAGTTATCTTTAATAAAGAGTAGCTTTAGGAACCCATGTTGAATTCCACATAAGGAACCATTAGACAACTCATCTGGAAATACGTCAAAGAACTCCTCATGAATCTAGTTCACACAAGCCTTATGCAAATGAATGTACTCCAAATCAAACATAATCTATTAGAAAAAAAAAAACAAGTACACCACAAAAGAACTAACTATCTCATGCACCAACTCTAAAGCACTAATTAATGAAATATCATTATTATTCTCTTTCACAATGCCACAAATTTTGATACGTAGAACATTATACTCCTATTCAATCCTTAAATTTTTATTATAAAACCATTCTTTCCCAAAAATAACATCTGTGCAGCTAAGATCTATAACTTAGAATGAAGGATGGTTGAGAATCCCCTAAACCATCAAAAGAACATTTGGAGCCTATTTATTATAAACACAAGTGCTATATCTATCTATCATAACCATCTTATAGATTACCGAGCTTTTTTCTATAAGAAAATTAAATTTTTTCACCACCTTAGAGCTCATATGTAGCACCTGGATCAAAAAGAATATTAATTATATTACCCTAAATGTCCCTTTTGGCCTTCACAAATTGATTGTGTATAGAACCATTGAGCTTTACAAAGTTGATATAAACTCAAGACTTAAGTTCTTGAACTTTCACTATGGGGTGTGGAAAAATTACCATAGTAGATGCTTAAGCCATATCTACAATAGAATCCACCACATTCACATTAACATTCTTTAATCCCTTCACAAGCGGATAATCCTTGCCTTGATGTTTAACTTTCTGGCAACAAAAATAATTACCTTCTACTTTGTCCTTCTTTCATTATTCCAAATGAGGTTTCTTAGTTTCATTGCTATTTCCCTTTTTTGAGCCATGACATAACAATTGTTGTTTCTTCCCCAAATATGAAGCACTAGTTGGCTAATCATCATCTTGACTACCCTATAGACCATCCCATTGACCAGAATTGACTGATGGTTTTGGTGAAAAGATTTGAGCCTTAATAATAGCATCAATCAATATTGCTGGAAAATCTTTGTTGCATATCCACTAATCTTAAACCTTTAATGAAACATTGCAAGTTTAGCAGCTCATTATAGTGCCCGTGGGACTAAAACAAAGATTATGGAACTTGAGAGTATATGCATTTAAAGACAAAATCCCATGCTTAATCTCTAGTAGCTAGTTCATAAGATCAACCTTTTCACACTTCTAACGAAGCATGAAAAACTTTTGTCAAATCATTCTAAGAAATCGACTTCGGATTAACTTTGATGTAGTTCTTCTACCACAAAGAAGTATGACCTATAAACTTCTTCAATCTTCACTTTATCTTCAAAAAGGTAGTAAGACTAGCAACTTTCTCACAATTCCAACCAAGAATCAACCTCCTAGTTATCACAAATATTTAGTGATAACTTCCATTACCATAATCCTTGGCATATTTGATATACTAATGGTAATCACAAATGCAAGATTATTTCAACCTTTGAGGGTTCATGTGAAGCAAGATAACATTGATGAAATCCTTAACCTCCTTAATATTATTCTAAATCTTAGAAATCTGGCAACTTGCCATATAATGACATCATCAAGAGATTCTTCCTCCTCATCATAACCATCATCATTAATATGATACTCTTTATTAAGATCTATATCCACTCCTTGACCATACTTTGATACTAATGAAACAAACAAAGAGTAAACCCTAAGCCAACTTAGGTATTACAGCCTTAAAATAAAATATCCTTAGAATATTCCTATGGTTTGTGGCTACCTTTTGATACACATCCCCAACACCTAAGGTGGATCACCAAGATCCCCCATCACTGGCCTCCTTAGCCCAATTAGTTCTCAGCTCCTAGAGGGCTCCAACCTTTAGATGCATGTCCTTAACACCTTGGATGGATCACCAAGAACCCCCCATCACTGGCCTCCTTGGCTCAATGGATGTGTGGCAGCTCCAACCACCCCATAACTAAACCTACTAGCTGTCCTAGCCAAAAAAGTCCCTTGGGCCATGCATGCCCTTCACACATGTCACTTGTGCAGGCCTTCATAGCGAGCTAGAAAAACATGCTTCAGTTATACAAAAAATGAAAGTGACAAGGAACTCAAATAAATTCCAGCATGCCCAGCTGTGATGAGGTGCCCCTCATCTCCAGGCAAGGGTTACTAGAGTTCACACTACAGTATGCTCAAATCTTGATCACCCCAGCTTGTAGTGCCATTCCCAAACTGATCCTCTCCCAGCCCTAGCTCCCACCATGCCTTTTATTGCCCCTGCTGCTGCATCCCAAGAAGTCCCATTGCCCAATCCTCTCTAACAAACTGGTTCTTCCTGCCACGTCGGACACCTGCCAAATCATCTGTGTCCATGTCATCTGTCTCGGGCTTGTTGTTGACCGCTTCACAGTTACCCTAATATTTGATACCACGTGAGAAAATGTGAGGGAGCTAGGCGGCCACGATAGATAGAAAAGAGGATACAGTAATGCTCTTGCTATCTATCTCGCCAAAAAGACTAAGAAAGACTAAGACAGCCTCCTTGCCATGGTGCCACGTAATCCAGCGCAAGTGGAGAACTCAATAGGTTCTACAAAGTATAATACAACATGCTACTCATCGAATGCTACTAGCGCTTCTGGAGAGGCCACTGGGTTTCATGTCGCTGCCGCATTTCTTGTTGGGCGATCCAAACACCCTCCAGAAGCGCAGCGTCTCGTCCGCGGCCGCAGATGCAACGGTAGTTCCCTCCGGGCTCTACACGCAAAACAGGAAAAGCCACTGGGAAAAGCTGGAGAAGAATAATAAACCTGTGCCAAATGGATCACTCGAGCAGTATGGCCCCGGAGCTCGGCAATCCTGATCATCGACGGATACTTCCACACACACAGCTGGTTGAGGCCGTAGCCATGGCTGCTGAGAATCTCCTTTTGATGCCTGCTCCACTGTAGAGCACACACCTGCGTGAGAATATCGAGAGCTTAGCGAAGAAAAGATAGAGAGGAGCAAAGATAGAGAAGAAGAGAACCTCACCTGGGACAAGGTATCGATGCTGCTGAGACACGTCCCGGTTTGAGTGTTCCAAAACTTGATGCATCGATCCACAGTTCCACCACCCGAGGCCAGCAAGCGCGACTGGAACGGGCACCAGGCGAGTGCCTTGACAGCAGCTCGATGGCAGTCGAAGCGGAACGCGCACCTGGAGCCGGGATGGATGGAATCGAACGTGGACGCCACTGCCGCGTCCCAGATGTGGAGGAGATTGTCGTTGCCGCCGCTGGCCAGCTGCTGGCCGCACGGTGACCACTTCAAGCCGCACACCTCCTGGCAGTGTCCCGCAAGAACTGACGCCTTGTGTGCTCGAGCGCGCACTGCAAAGCTAATCGATCCATCATCGGAAACAAACCAAGGTTTTACCATCGTGGTTTATAATCTTGTGGTCGCGGCTTCCGGACGACAGGAGTGATCCATTCCAAGCCAGAGACGAGACTCGTGATGAGTGACCGCGAAAGGTTCGAATCTACGTGTTCCAAGAAAGAAGAGCTTGCATGAGGAAGTTAAGATCACAAACCTGGCTTCTGCTGGTGGCATGCCAGAGTTGGATGCATGCGCTGCTCAGTCCCACTGCGATCAATCTTCCATCGTCGGACCATGCAACGCTTGTCACCGTGTCGTGCTCCTCGCATTTGCTAAGTTGGAAGCTCTCGCCGGTGTCGGCGTCCCACAGGTAGACGGCAGGACCCAGAGCGACGGCGACTGTGTTGTTGCAACTCCAGTCCAGTAAGTTGAGGTAGTAGTCGTCCACGATCTCGGGGGCATCCAGGATTCTCTCAGGAGTCTTGCGTCACGGTTACAATGAAGAACATCGATTGACAATGTATGTACCTGGCATATGTGTCGATGTGGTTTTTTGGAAGAAGGCAAGATGTCCAACTCTGTGTCGAGACAACGCTGGATGCTCAACGAGGGGATTTTCTTTGTGAAGGCCAGGATCTTGGGGCTCCCCGTCTCGCAGCTTAGAAGACTCTCGGCCAGGATGCGTCTGTAATCTTCCTGGCAAGGAAACGTTAGGCGACATTGCTTCTTTGGACTCTTTACCTTAACAGGCGATGCAACCTCGGATGGAGTGTGGCTATTTTCCCTGGCTTCGTGGAGCAGATTAAAATGCGCTAGATCCAAGTCCATGGCTCCTCTGTTGGGAATGAAACGATCGCCCTGGATATCACCGATTACATGGAAGATATGAGAGGAGCTAGCTACCATGGAGATGGAAGGCCTGCGCGCCAGTGGAGAGAGGGGCGCAGGGGAGAGCCGGGTCCTGCTTGCCATATCCAGATCACAGCGCCCACCTCACACGACAGAAAAATCAGCAAGAAGATTGCCCTAATTAGATCCAACGGCCTGGAACGTCGTCTCTTCCAACGGTCATCTTCAGCTGAAAGCTGCCATAGTCATGTTTACTCGAGAATGCCAGTTCAATCTGATGCTGGACGAGACTGTTTCTTGATGTGCTGGAAGAAAACATTGGTAGCGTATTGTTTTGAAAGGCTTTTCGACAATTATTTCCACACCTTTCAAGCTCATGGAGGAGAAATCGTTCTCGTCTTGCCTGCAAGAGCTTGATGTGAAGTCAAAGCTTGGAAACAGAATAAACATTTGAAGAAAGCAGGCACGACTCATAGTTTCCACATCTCCTACACTTGGGGTGGCTCGCAAGAAGCTCCCGCAAACCAGCCGACGAATGAACCAAAGGAAAGACAAGCATCATAAGCTCCAATCTCATTCAATTTATCATACCGATCGTAAGACAACATTCGTCCCTCGCACAAATGCAAAACGGGAGAAAACTCGAACAAAGGGAAAAGGTACTCACAGACAGTCGCCGGTGGGCTTTTCTGTACGCGCAGTGACAGACTGGAAGTTGAAAATGCTCCACTCAAAGTTGAGAAAAGACCAAAACTCAATACCTTCTTCGCAGGCTTTGCACGCTTCGAGGAGTAGCTTCAGCTGGAATCTCCACAGGATCAGCAGTAGCTCCAGGCGTAGCCTCAGCTGGAATCTCCATGCGTAGATCAAACATCTGGAGCAGAGATTAGCATCAAACATCTAGAAGATAAATAACAAAAGATGGTACGAGGCCGGGAAACAACCATAGAAGACGTACCTGGCTGCATCCCTGGTGAGATCGCTGGCAGGACCATTGAGGTGTGCTCTCTCACAGTAGCAATGTTTTCCTTGGCGCAAGCATTGCTCTGTGCGAGCGCCCTAGTGACGAAGCCCGTAAGTGGGCCTTCGATCGTCTTTGCCAGCATCTTCTCCACGGATCCAGTCAGAGCCTGTAGAGCCTTCCATCTTGTGCATCACGTTCATCACGGAGCCCTCAACCTTGTCAACCACGAAATGGAGAATCAGAGGCGTGGCACCAGCGACAATCAGCGATGCACAAGAAAAACTGGAAGATCCGGCCACCCCATTTCAATCAATCGATCGACCGGACTGCACAACAAGTTCTTGATCAACAGCGTCATATATGATAGCTTGCAAGTGATCCTTTCCAAGCTCGCCAAGCAGGGCGAGAGGGATAACTACAGCCTCGTTTGTAAATCTTTTTTATGTGGTAGTATTATCTTTTAGAGTATTAAATGTGTCAAACACTCATTTAATTATTCAATTAATATGAAGTTTTTAAGAGCATTAAAATGATAAACTTTGGGATCACTAGCCAATTGCACTCCAGCTCTGGACACAAGCCCAGAAATGATCAGTGAAGAAATGGTTTATAAGCTCAAATGCAAAGAGGTTGACCAACTCCAGCGCATGCAGTCAAAGACACCACAAGAAGAACAGGCCAATCTTTTGGTGGAAGCACTGCATGAAGCCACCCTGCTGTATCAACTGCAGAGACCACGGAAAGCTGCTAGGACTCCTGACCAAAAAATGGTGGACTTAGCATTGTACCAAGCTGCACCGAGCATACAAAAAGGCAAAGAAGGATGGCCACCCCAATGCCGAGTGATGCCATAGACACTTCCAGAAAGTGGTCACCACAATAGAGCGTTCAACAATGAACAAGTTCAACAAGTGAGGCACAACCTGCACCAGGCATACAAGATCTTCAAAAAGAAGACAGCACCAATCTTTATTGATGAGGTGGACCTGGATACAGTACTTATATGAGCTCAATTGAGTGTGACACCCCACTGGCGTTCTGTGAGAAACAGGTGGAGGAAGCAATCAGCCGCCACCACCGGTGGAAGGCCACAGACGTGTATGGGTACATGGTGGCTAGCAACATCATCCAGGACACTAGCTGGACCATCAATTGTGTCCTTCCGATATACAAGCAAGGAGACCCAACGAGGTCAGGAAATTATAAGACAATCATGGCCTCCACCATCTTTGCCAAGCTCTTCACCCGACTAGTGGAGAAACGTCTTGTCCGATAGAGGTAACAAGCGGGAGTCAGAGCATGAGGTCAAGTAGGGTTTCGACCGGACATCACAAAAGCTCTTGAGGACCAAACTCTTCCAGCACCTTAATCCAGCAGCTGTACGCGAGCGTGAAAGCAGATGTCCAAGGTCGCTGTGACACCGGTTTGCCCCAAGGCTAACGCATTTTCATAGATGGTCTGAGCTCTCAACGATGAACTCGCCGGCATGCTGCTTTACCTGCTGCTATTGGACACACTCCACCGATTCTGCCAAGATACGGGATTACAGATTAACCTTGGTGTTTGGACCAGATCAGGAGAGCAAATTCTGGTACGAAGGGAAACAGATCGAGGCCACTGATGAGTACAAATACTTGGGGCACATACTCCACCGCTCTGAAGGGTCCGGGCCAGGAGGCGGGCGCCTATTATGCAATGCAATCGGACTGTAGAAAAGCACGAGTGACAAGGTGGGAAGCGAAGAAGATATATTTTCTCACGAAACTAACCACAGTCGCACTCTATGCCTCATAAATGTGGGAACCCGGACTATCTAAAACGATGTGGGAAAGCGTGGAAACCATCGCATCAACCTTCTCCACTGCGACAATACCTCCGCAAAACTAGATTGTCCTTGTTTGCGAGGATTATGTGTGTTTCAGCGTCCCAGTCGATGTTTGACCGTCTCTGTGTCTTCCACGCAGACCGGGCAGATCCGGAGGTATTTTCCCTGTCCACAGCATCCGAGTTCGATGAGGAGGCTGTGGCTTCCTGCGTGGGGGCGATGAGGTCTTCTCCATTCTGGATGTTTCATCTGGGTTTATCTCCTGGCAATAAAGGTGATATTTTGTCCTAGTGTTCTCTGCCATGTATCCATGTGTGCATCATTGTTCAAGATCCTCTTCAAGCGCGCTGAGAATGTAGATTTGTGCCAAACTTGTGCATCCACATCTCCATGTCGTACCACCATCCTTGTCCATGTTGCCGTGCCAGCAGCTGAGAGTCAAGAATTGCTTGATGCCATATGGTATGAAGTGCGCCAATTAGCTGAAACGCATGGAGTTGCAATGGCAAATACATGTCACACATGTGATGGACAAAAAGATAGTCTAACTTGCATTTTTGCATCCATCAGTTTCATGCTTCCAGTTGCACACCACAAGACTATCAAAACAAAATTTTAAAACAAAATGGCTCAGAGGGCTTTTTCTCATCTGGAACAGAGGAGTGTGAGTGGCGACTCACTTCAAAGCCAGTTTCATCATCACCAGATTCGAACCGAGAACCAGTTGATTACAAGGCTCGCACCTAACCAAGCGCGCTACGTGCTACTCTTGGTAGTTGATTTAGACGAGCTCGCTCCCAATCGTGATGTCCGATCCAAACCCGCTGCAAAGAGATCTCGCATGAATCTCCTGGCCAGGAGCACAAACACATCTTCCCAGAAATCCTGGAGGTTCCCACCATCGATGGTTACCTCCAGGAGCAACGCAAGCCGCCATCGATCCAAGACACCCGGAGGTATGCGCTGCTCCTCCGCCAATGCGGCGACCGCCGCGACTTGGTGGGCATCAAGGATCTCCATGCGAGGATCGCGAGGAGCGGCCAGGAGCGCAACCGCTACGTCGCAAATCTTCTCGTCCAGATGTACGCCAAGTGTGGGGATGTGGAGGAGGCCCAGATCGTCTTCGCCAAGATCAAGAACAAGAACGTTTTCTCGTGGACACTCATGATCGCAGCATTTGCCCAGAACGGGCATTACGCGAGAGCGGTGGAGCTCTTCCGGGCGATGGACGTTCCACCGGAGGAGGCCACTTTCATCGCAGCTCTCGGGGCTTGCACCAAATGCGGCTGCTACGATCGAGGGCGAGAGATCCACGCCAGGATCAAGGAGTATGGATTGGATTCCAGCCTCGTGCTCGGCAACACCCTCATCAACATGTATGGCAAATGCCGCGCGCTGCGTGACGCGAGGGCAGTGTTCGATCGAATGCCGGAGCGAAGCACCGTGTCGTGGAACGCGATCATCGGAGCTTATGCCCAGAATTCGCAGCACAGAGAAGCTCTGGAGCTCTTCCGGGAGATGATCACGACAGCTCCAGGAGGGATCGTTCCGGACGAAGTTACGTTCCTTCCAGTGCTCCAGTCGTGCTCGGGGCTGCAAGACTTGGTAGAGGGCGAAGCGATTCACGATCTGGCAGCGAAACTGGGGCTGGAATCCAACGTTGTCATCGCCAACGCTGTCATCAACATGTATGGAAAGTGTGGCAGGATCGCAAAGGCCAGAGATCTCTTCGACCGGATGAAAAGGAGGAGCATTGTGTCGCTCAACACCATCATCTCCGCCTACGCTCTCAACGGCTGTGGCTTCCAGGCGATCGATCTCTACAAAAGGATGGCGGAGCTTGAGCAACAAAACTTCCAGCCAAACGATATCACCTTCGTGGTTCTCTTGGATGCCTGCGGTAGCGTTTCTTCGCTGGAGATCGGGCTGGAACTCCATCGAGAGATTGCTTCCCGGGGGCTCGAGTCCAGGATCAACGTCCAGAACGCTCTCATCAACATGTATGGGAAGTGTGGAAGCGTCGATGGTGCCAAGTCTGTGTTCCTGGCTATGGCTTCTTCTTCTTCCTCTTGCAGAGACGTGATCTCCTGGACAGCGATGATCACTGCTCTAGCCCAGAACAGCCGCGAGGAAGAGGCCGTGGGATTGTTTCGAGAGATGGAGCTCGAGGGAGTGAAAGCCAACGAAGTAACTCTGGCCGCCTTGGCCACCGCGTTCGTCAACCTTGGGAACTTTGGCGATGGCTGCCACATCTATCCCCGAGTTGCCGCTCTCGGGATGAAGCTCGACGTGGTGCTCGGCACGGTTTTGATCGGCTTGCATGGGATCTGTGGTGAGGACGTGGTCACCGCAAGCAAGATCTTCGAGCAAATCGAGCAGAGCAAGAAGAATGTGATATCCTGGAACGCGATGATCGCTGTCTACGCTCACTCCGGGAAGAACAGCGAAGCTCTGGAGCTCTTCCGAGCGATGGACGTGAGACCCAACGAAGCTAGCATTGCTTCCTTGCTCCTTGGCTCCTTGACAAGCGTGGATCACCTCGACTTGATCCGAGAAGAAGCGAGGATCCATGGCCTGGAGGGGAATCCCATCGCTGCCACGGCGCTGGTGAGTGCTTACGGCCGAGCCGGATCGATCGATGGAGCACGAGCGGCCATGGAGAGGATTCCCTGCGGAGAGAGAGACCTCGTGTCGTGGAACGCGATGGTGGCGGCGTGCTCTCAAAACGGCGCTGGAGAGGACGCTCTGGATCTCTACCACCGGATGAATCTCGAGGGCGCTGTGAGGGCGAGCGAGATCACGTACTCGAGCGTGCTGATCGCGTGCCCGAGCCTGCGAGCTCTTCGATCGATCCACCACACGGTCGCCAGCGCCGGGTTCCTGGACGAGCTGGGCGTCGCAAACTCGCTAACGAGCGCCTACGGGCGATTCGGCGAGGTCGATCGCGCGAAAGAGATCTTCGATGCCATGAGAACCGTGAGCGTCGTGAGCTGGACCGCGATCATCGCGAGCTATGCCCAGAACGGCCGGGTCCGCGAATCCCTGGAGCTCTTCCTGGGCATGGCGCTGGACGGGATCCATCCCAGCGAGGCCACCTTCACGAGCATCCTCTACGCTTGCAGCCACGCCGGGAAGATCGAAGAGGCGTGGCGCTGCTTCGCCAGCATCCACGGCGATTTCGGGATGGAAGCGAACGAAGAGAACTACCGGTGCGTGGTGGATCTGCTGGGGCGAGCCGGGAAGCTGGAAGAGGCCCGCGATCTGGTCCAGAGCATGCCATTCCCGGCGGATGGAGTGGCGTGGACGACGCTGCTGGCCTCTTGCAAGACTCACGATCGCGAGGAAGAGGGCAGAGACGCCGCGCGAGAGATGATGGCGCTGGAGCCGGACAATGGCGCCTCGTACGTGATGCTCTCCTCGATCATCCCGTTGCATTGAGCATTCTTCTATTAGGGTTCTTGATATCTTTCAATGGAATTTCACGAGTTCTTCACCCACATTCCCATTCGCGAGCGCTGGCAAGAAGTGATCCATCCCTTGGCAATGTGGAGCTCCAGCGCCAGGGAGGTGATCCAATTCAATCCATGGAAGTTTCTCTATTTCCAGCACTGGTTCTGGATCTCTCAATCCATGATCGTAGGCGCTGCTATGAAGCGATCGATCAGCCTAAGATTTCTAGAGCTTCTGGAAACGCGCCAAAAAAAATTCCTAGCGGGGCTTTAAATGGTGGCACTAGGGAAATTTTCCTTTTCTTTTCATTGATGATCCCTGAGAGTGTCCAGGCGGGCAGCGAAGCCCAGCTCAATGGAGAGCTCGCGGAGGACTTTACGATAGAGTCCAAGGTAACGCTGGTCACGCTTCTCAAAGACGCTCTCTTTAAACTCGATTCCAACGATGGTGGCGACGCTCCAGGCGTCGAGGTATGATTCTTTCCTCCTCCAGCTTCAAGGACTTTACGAAATCTTCTCCTGTTTTTCCCAGTCGCTGGCTAGTCTTTTGGTTTCCACGGACGCGGAGATCGTGTTGCTGGCCTTGGAAGTTCTCGCCGCAGCTCAAACCAAGGATGGTTATTCTTCCAAGACGATGAGCTACGTGCGAGAGATATCTTACGGATGGCCAAGCAGGGATCAGTGGTTCTGTGCAAAGGAGTCAGCTCGGAGTCTATACTTCGAGTTCTATCAAGACGGGAAGCTGGAAGTCATTCAGGTTGAGGTGGAGGAGCTGTGTAGGGAAGATTGCTTGGATCTCTTCAACAGGTTGGTCCGTGACTTCAAGGTGCCTGGGGAGCTCCGGTTTTCTTTGCTCACCAGGATTCGCTTCGCAAAGGCATTCTCATCGGCAGAAACTCGGTACGAGTACCTTCGAATTTCCATCTTGGCTCTGGGGCTCGTACCGCATGTAGAAAAATCCCAACTCTCGGACTTGGAGGCGGTGGCGTGCGATGGAGTTGTTCCAGAGAGTGTTCGAATCTCGGCACTGTATGCACTGGGAGCTCACGGAAAGGAGGACATACTCACGACCGCGGAAAGAGATGCAAAGGTCCATGAGTTTCTCAGTGGGAAAGTCCAGCATTCCAGTGGTTTTATCAAAGCTTTGCTGGATAATTCCTCGGCCCCCATAGATCTCCAGGATGAAGACAGGAAACGCCGCCGTCAGCTTCCATCCTCCGTCTTTGGAGTCCTGAGCTTGAACGAGGCCTTGATCTGGCTTGAAGACGAACTCAAGGACATCAGCAGTAGCGATGACGACTCGCTCAGGGAAAAGCAACGAATGATCAGAGACTTGCTTTCCAAGGCCTTCGAGGGGGGTGAGGGAGAGGTCGAGCAGTTCTTGGTAAAAATCTTTGACAATCCCAGGCTGTTGAGGGGGACTTCAAGCAGCTCAAAGGTGTCCACTGATGGCTGGAAGATTGTGGAAGCAACCATGTCCTGGAAGTTATCAGATGAGTTACACGCGAAGTTGGCCAAGTTGATTCTAGACGACGTGACAGCCGTTCCTGAAGCTGTGCTGCTCAAGGCACTGAGTGCTAGTTTCATGTCGACTCTCGTTGGGGTTGGCGGCTACGAGTTTCTTCGCCAGCTTCCGGTGTCTGTGGTTATGAAGCTCGAAAGATTTCCTCCCACAGACAAATGTGGGGGTTACGCAGAGATGGCCAAGAGTTTGTGCGAGGATTTTGGATCGTTAATCGAAGGGAAGTGCGCTGAGAAGGTGGAGGTGCTACCCTGGATCGTCGAGCGGATGCTATTCAACAACGATGGTCATTGCAACGCTTTTTTTTTCAAGCAGCTCTTCATGTCCGGCGCATTGGACAAGCTGTTGATCGCCTTCGAAGCTTTCGGAAGCTGCTCGACACCAGTTGGAAGCTCGACGACAGGGATGGCACCATCGCTAGACGTGTACTTCTCCATTTTCTGCCAGCTTTTGGACTCGGAGTGGGCGGACCTTACAGGAGAGGAGGACGAGAAAAGAATCAAGCAACAGATTTTCTATGCGGTCCTTCGCGTAATTCGACTCTGTGACATCTCCCAGTTCACTCCAAGGATGGCGGCAGCGGTTCTCGAACAGTTGTGCAAGAAGAACCCTGCCGAAGTTGACGATTTGGCCGTTTCAAAACTGGTGTCAATGGGATACGATAAGGCAGTGGCGAGAGCAGCGCTGGAGAAGAAAGGAAATTCCATTGAACGAGCCGTTGAGAAGATGGCTGAGGAAAACTTTGAGGATGCCCTTGCACTGTCATTTCCACCAATGCTGGAGATGGTCGACCTCCTCTTGAAACTTATGAACTGTCACGGCTCCGAGGATTTGATTCTTACCATCTGGAGGAACGGCGTGTTGCACGAAAGAGAGACCGCCTTGGTGTCACTGGTTTGCCAGCTGGGATCTGAGGCAGCAGCTGCGAAGCTTTTAGCACTCCTGGTTACGAAAGATACCGCTGCTGCTGTTGTTATTCGACGGCGTGGTATGGCAAACCAGTTTCTAGAGCTCCTGTTGTCTCCAAAATTTGAGACTTCAGTAGAGTCAGCTGCAGTGGTTTTAAGGCTTCTGTTTGGAGGAGGCGACCACGGTGGCAATCCTTTTGCTGCAAGTGGCATGTCCGAAGATCAGCACAAGCAAGCGGTAGTTTGGTTTGGAAACTTCATCTGCCAGACTCCTCCTACAGCTCATGGACCAAAGCTGCTTAAACTCGGTGAAACTCTGACGAGGAACCGCAAGATGGCACTGGAGCTAGTGACAAATGCGAGGGACTTGGCTGCTCTTTTCGAAAGGTTGCTAGACCTAAGCGTCGACCCGGATTCTAAGAGTTGCGCTTGCAAGACGGTGTTGCATCTGCTGGAAGACCATCAGATGTTATACCACAGGATGGTGCGGGCGATTCGAGCACGTTTGTTGGCCAATGCGGCCGATGTGCATGATTTTTTGAGAGATATGTCGTCCTGGGCATTCAGAGAGCCCGCCATCTTCTTGCGAGCATCATTTGACACCTGTGAAGTTGTTCGTGTGGGGAAGGACCAGCACTACATTTTTCTTAAGGGGGGTCAAGTCACCGGCAATGGTGGCGACGAAAGTGCATTGGTTTCCACCCATTTTCTCGACGTTTTTGCTCAGCTGCGCGATCCTCTTCTGGCCGGGCTAGACGACGTCAGGATTGAGCTCTTGACCAAGATTTATGACGAGTTTCCAGATTTTTTGCTCGGCCACGAAGCTGGAATTCTTGACCGGGTGTTAGAAAGTGAGTCAAAGGCATCCTCGGTGAGCAAGTTCTTAAAGGCTGTATGGCGGGAGAACAGGGACAGTGTCCTCCAAGCTCTGATGAAGGCGTTTTCCTTGGAGCTGATAAGTACCTCGAAACTCGTCCGTCTTTCAAAGGTTTTGGAGAGCTGCTACGAGTTCCTGGATGCTCTTCTTGCCGACCGTATAGTTAAGGCCCTTGCTGCGCTCGACTTAGACCATCCAGAGGCAGCAGCGGTCGTAACTTCAGTTTTTGAGGTGCTGGCAAACTTTTTATCGAGTCACCGACATCGTCCCGTTGTTTCCATTCCGCCATATGTGTCGGAGGCTGGTGTCATCGCGTTTCTACAGGCGATGTACGCCACAGCAGAGGATCCCGTTGCTGCAATCAGCACTGGTGCCGAAGAGACGACACAGAATATGTGGGCATTTTTGGCGACGCTTGATCCGGACTTAAGATTGCAGGTACTTCCCAGTTTCCATTTCTCGTGCAGAAATATGTTGAAGTGTTTCTCGTGCAGATACTTCGGACCTGCCCGGACTTGCTTCCGGAGCTAACCCAGCATCAGCAGGCACCAAATGTTGCGTTACAAGACCAAGCTGCCGAGCATGACAGACATCATACAGAAGATGAGCATGAAACCGAAGAGGAGGATCAAAACGAAGATGAGGATGATGAGTATGCTAATGGTGAAGATGGGACGGAAGATGGAGATGGCGAGGATGATGTCGAGGAGGATGACGAAATGCAGGATGGATTAGAAGGAGATCAGTGCGAACAAGAGCAAGAGATTTTTCCTCAGTCATGGGTGGTTGACAACGACGACTTGGAAACACTCGTCAAGTTTCTCCGGTTTGCTCCAGAGTCATTTGACGAGAGGAAATTGGTCTCTTTTCTGAAGAAGCACACAAATCATGCTGAACTGGCGAGGGTGCTTGTTCGTATGCTCCTGAGAACCGAAAACTCACGAGCTTTTGGATCACCTGCCAATGGTCTTTTCCATCGCAACTTCGTTCTTGGTAAAGCTCAGTATTACTCCCTTCTAACCATCTAAACTTTGTTTTGTTTTTTCCAGGAGTTCCCTGCTTCGTGCTGAAACGACTGTTGTGCCTTTTTGCTGAACTTGGTGGGCACCGTAACTCTTCCGTGTTGGCGTCACTAAAAGAAGACGACGTAGTCTCGATCGTGGCTTTGCTCTTCAGTCTGCTGGACGATCTCAAGTTTGTGGCGTCGGCGGTGCGTTTGCTAAAGCTCATGACTCTAGAGCTCAAACGCAACAAAGAAACAATCGCCATAACTGTTTCAGACGTGAAGCTTTACAAGCTGTGTGATCTCTATGCCGTCAACGCAAGGTAAGAATAAAAACCGGTTCCCATACTGAAACTTGTAATGATGTTGCAGTGTGGGGGACGTTTTAGGCAACTTGATCGCTATAAATCCAGCTCTTTCCCCAGCTATCCTCTCGCGAATGACGAGCATATCTACGAAACTCGTCAGCTCGGTCGTGAAGGAGCTAGAAGTTGGCGATTATACATCCACCGGTGCTGTTTTAAATCTTATACGAACGCTTGATCGAGTGGAGCAGAAGGATCTTCCGCACCTCGTCTCCGCTCTAGATCCTTTGTGGGGATTCGTACGCAGTGGCATGCCAAAGGCAGCACGGCCACTCGTCGGGGCTTTCTTCCTCGCGCAACAATTTATCTCGGATGCACCAGCACCCTCGACTCTAGCTCTTGCACGAGAACTGGTCGGGCAGAATGTCGTCAAAATCGAGGTCTTGCTTCCAGTGCTTCGAAAATGCCCCGGCCTTTTGGCTATGGAAGACAAGCATGAGTTCCTCCTGAGCAAGTTCCCGATTTCCGAGAGTGAGGAGATACGTATACACAGGCACGACATTCTAAAGGACTCTTACGAGGAACTTGGGCAGCGCTCGGCAGAAAAGCTGAAAAAGTTCCAGTTGAGTGTGCATTTCCGTGGAGAGGAAGGCGAAGGTGAAGGACTGGGACGCGAGTGGTTTCAGGTGGTGTCACAAGCCATTGTCGAGGAGCAAGCGCTTTTGTTCTCTCCAGTCGGGGATTGTTACCAGCCGAATCCAAGCTCGGCTTCTTGTCCTGGTCATCTCTCATACTTCAAGTTTGTTGGTCGCCTGGTAAGCGGTGGTGCTGCTCATCGCTTCTTATCTAATTCTACTTGCAAAAACCAGGCAGCCAAGGCTATCATCGACTCTCAAAAACTGGATATACGCTTCACTCGCTCGTTTTACAAACACATACTTGGAAGAGAAGTCACATACATGGACATGGAACCGGAGGTTTCCAAAAGCCTCGTATGGCTGTTAGAGGTAAATTTGTTCATTTCTTTTACACCCTCTTAGAAATCTTGATTTCCAGAACAAGGTTGAGGAGTCCATGGGCCTGAGCTTCAGCATAGACGATCATTCAGATGGACGCAAAGAGGTGAGTACAGCTTCTTTCACATCACCATATCCATTTCCTTTTGTTTACTGTAGATGGCGATTCATGATCTTATTCCCGGAGGTCGAGATGTTCCAGTGACTGAGGAAAACAAGCATAACTATGTGAATCATGTCGCCGACTACCGCTTGACAGGCTCGATCAAGCCGCAGATAGACGCGTTTCTGGATGGTTTCTACGAACTGATATCGAAGGATTTGATATCCATTTTCGATGTCAAGGAGCTAGAGCTGCTCATAAGTGGGCCTCCTGATGTAGACGGTATGTTTCTTCTTCTTGTCAAACCTCTCTCAGAGTGTGATTTTGTGTGCTTGCAGTTGAAGAGTTGCAAAAAGTTGCAAGATGTGAACATACTTATTGTATTTTGAAATGGTTTTGGGATGCAGTTAATGGCTTTTGCAAGGAGGACAAAGTTCGGCTGCTTAAGTTCATGACTGGGTCTTCCAAGGTATGACAAAAGATCTTATACTTTTTTACAAGCTTTTGTTTCACCAGATTTCAAACACGGGCCTTTTGATAACTGAAGGTGGTGAATGGAATCAATTACCAACGGCATATACTTGGTAAGCATCAGTTTTGTCCTATGGTATTTGTCTAATATCATCGACATTTTAGCTCTGGGACTATCGTTCTTCCTCACTATCAGTCGAGAGAGCAATTGGAAGAGAAACTCTTGCTTGCTATTCGCGAAGGCTGCGAAGGTTTTGGCTTTGTATAGAGAAATTATTTCGATCAATGTAAAAAGTAGATCAAAATGGAACCCTTCTTCTACATTTCTTGCATGGCATAGATATTTGCCATGAGCACGTACTCTGACTTTGATTCCGCCAATGACTCAAACGCTGCTCGCCCGATGGTGGCGTTCCTCCACTTTTGACAAGCGCTGAGTAGCGCCCTCCACACCGCAGCGTCCGCCTCCATAGGCATCGTCTTGGCCAAGCTCCAAGCTTCTTCCAGCCGATTGGAACGTCCCAGCAAATCCACCATGCAGCAGTAGTGTTGGATCCCCGGAGTGATCCCAAACTCGGCCACCATCGCTCGGAAGTAGCTCTTTCCTGTCTCGACCAGACCGGCGTGAGTGCAAGCCGTAAGAATCGCGAGAAAGATCACACCATCAGCCTTCACGCCAGTGTCTTTCATCTGTCCAAACAGATCCAAAACTCGATCGCTGCTTCCCTGCCGACTGTAGCCTGTGATCAGCGAGCTCCAGGTAGCTAAGTCGGGCTTCTCGAGCAAACCATCGAAGTTTAGGTGAGCGTCGGTCATGTCTCCACACTTGCCGTAGAAACCAACCAGGGAAGCTGCCACAAACTCGTCGTCTTCCAATCCACTCCTACAAATCCCAGCATGGATGATCTTCCCAGCTTCCAAGTCTGCTAAGTTTCCACACGCGACGAGCGCAGGAACGCAAGCTCTGGCATTCGGTGACGGACAGTGCACTCGAGCCTTCATGCATCCAAACAGCTCCACCGCAAGCCTGTTGTCGGAGTTCTCTGCGTAGCCGAGCAGCAGCGAAGTCCACGACACAACGTCGTGTTCTTCCATCCTGTCAAAGACCTTCCGAGCATCCACCATGCTGCCACACTTGGAGTACATGTCCACAAGAGAGTTTCCAACGTAAATGTGCCTCAAGTTCCTTGTAGCAGCCGCTCGAGCGTGCAAAACCACCCCTTTTTCTAGTGATCCCATCTTGTCACTGTTTCTGGTTGCTAGATTCGAGCAGGCCTTGAGAGCAGCCACGAAAGTTAAGTGATTTGGTTCGCAGGAGCCTGGCTTGGAAACCATTCGAGTGAAGAGCTCCAATGCTGCCTCCTCCTGGTCGCTGTCTGCGTAGCCGGAGATGAGAGCAGTGTAAGAAACCACGTCGGGACGATCGATGGCATCGAAGACTTTGCGAGCCTCGTCCATGCTCTTGCACTTTGCGTACATGTCGATCAAGGTGGTGGCCACACGGATGTTTGAGTCGAGCTTGCTCGCCACCGCGTAGCTGTGGAGTTGCTTCCCATGGCACAAGTCTCTTGAGACACTACATTCCTTGAGCGCTGCGAGGAGTTGGACCCTCTCGTCTTGGACATCGATTGCTCTCCTCTGCCATGAAGTTTTAGATTACAAGAAGAAGAAGAAGAAACACAAAGAAAACTCACAAGTTTGTGTTGCTCATGTAGTGATTTACTTCTTTCTTCTCCCTGTTGATGCAAGTGTGTCAAGCGAGAGGAAGAAAAATTGATTGAGAGAAAGGCTACTCACGGGTGCTCTTTGGTCGTGAAAAAATCGCTCTGTTACATGTTTGATCTGGCATGGTTTGCTTTCGGGTCAAAACTGGAAGAAGGGAAAAACAAAGAGAAATTCAAATGCTCACGAGAGTATGTTGGCCGCGGAGCTGAGCTGCGAGAAATCCAGCCCTTTTGGTTATAGCATCAATCGTTGCTGCCTAGAACTAGAAGAAGCAAATCTAAGAGCAAAGATTTTCTTTACAAAAGAAATACTCACGCTCTGGTCAAGAGAAGCTCAGCCCCGATCGCCCAAAGCGTCCAAACGATCGATCCGGGAAGAAAATGCCCGCCCTCGAGATTTAGGGTTTATTCATTCTTTTCTCCCCTTTGGAGAAATTTGGAAATCTAGGGCTCTAGGAAGCGATGGGGAGAATGAAGCCGGCAGCGCTGCTCCAGCAGAGCAAGCGCAAGAAAGGCCCGTCGCGGCTCAGCCTCCCCACCATCATCTCCTGCAACGTCGTCGTCGTCTTGCTCTTCCTCTCAGTCCTGGCGCTTCACAGGCACAGCCAGTGAGTCGGATCGACGAATCCTTTCTTCCTCGGATCTCATGCTTTGATTTATTCGTTCCAGGAGCGGCAGCAGCAGCGGCAATCGGAGTCGCCAGGTGAGGAAATGAATAGATTTTGGAGAGATCTTTGCTGGGTTCTTGATGCAGGGCATTGGTCGGAAAGAAAAATTTGGCATGGATCTTCCCAAGTATGCGGTAACATTTTTATTCTTGTTTTCAAGGAATTCTTCGTTCTTATACTCTCTTACTCTAGTTGATGAACACAACCAAAGGTGTCATCGTTTTGGAGCTCTTCCGCGACGAAGTTCCCAAAACCGTGGAGAACTTCGCAGTGCATGGGTACCATCCTTTCGTCTTGTTTTCTCTTCCCTTGCTCATACTTTGGCTCCCAGGCAGCAAGGATATTACGACGGTGTCAAATTCCACAGAGTTATCAAGGATTTCATGATCCAAGGTGGTGATCCCAGCGGAGATGGAAGAGGAGGCGAGTCCATTTGGGGTGGATCCTTCGAAGACGAGTTTAGACCCAAGTAAGCAAGAGCTCTCGTTGTTGAAGTTGGAGATTCTCATGGTTTTGTGTAGCTTGAAGCACGAACCATTCACGCTGTCCATGGCAAACTCTGGCCCGGACTCCAATCGCTCCCAGTTCTTCATCACAACCGTGGAGACTCCACACCTGGACAACAAGCACACCGTGTTTGGACGCGTTGTGCGTGGCCAAGACGTTGTCAAGGCAAGCTTCTTTCTCTCTGTTTGTTCTTCAGCATCGCTTACTTCTCTCTCTCTCTCTCTCTTTTTTGGTTGTGTGTTTTAGGAAATAGAAGCCCAAGAAACTAACTCGGAAAATCGACCCTTAGTTCCCGTTACCATTCACAGTGTACGAGTCGGCAACGATCTTGCTTAAATTTTTTTCCTGTATTGATGAATCTTACCAGCCGAGGTGGCAAACACGTGTACCTTAACCTAACACGTCAGCGTTTTACGTGGAGAAGGGAGAGCGTCACACGTCAGCGTGCGCCCTATCCCACATGCGAAGGCGTAGAATTGTGCCCTAGGTAGAGTATATAAATGGAGCGCTGGGTCAAAACAGCTCATACCTTTCTCGGCCTTTTGGCTAAGATCAAGTGTAGTATCTGTTCTTATCAGTTTAATAGCTGATATGGGGCCACGTGCCCCAACGCTATTAACCTAATTTTTTGTGGGAGGAGGGCCACCGGTAGCTTGCTACCCGGCCCTCCACGTGTCGCTTTGGCCTTACACTACCGCCTTAGCCTGGCACAACCCAACCCCCAAATTTAAAACCAAGAAGGATATTTAGGAAAATCTAGTTACACTATTCTGTAGTAGAATGATGTGTTTTACGTATATCCGGGTTAGTAGCTAGAGGCGCATGGTTAGGTGCGAGCCCGGTTCGAATCTGGTGATGATGAAATCGGGTGAGAAAAAAAGCCCTCTGAGCGATTTTGTTTTGAAATTCTTTCTAGGTCACAGCTATGGCGGCATCGCTGCTCTCTCTCCTTTGCTCTTCTTTCTCCCTCGACACAGCAAGGAATGTGCGCGTTCTTACTGGAATTCCGCCATCGCCGAGCGGCTGCATTCCCTTTTCCAGCGGAAGGAGCACAAATCGTCCGAGCAGGATTTTGGCGACGAGCAGCTGCAATGGCGTGGCCGGAGGCATCGACAGGGAAGCAGCGGCCAGGGATTTGCTGGAATGGATGGCGAGCAAGGGCGTGGCAGAGCCTGGAGGTGTGGAGGTGAGGCGCGGGGAGCTGGGGCTGGGGCTGTTTGCCAAGCGCAGCGTGTCCAAGAACCAGGAGGTGGTGTCCATTCCCAAGACGCTGTGGATGGATGTGGACACTGTGAGAAGGTCTGAGATTGGTGAGTGCTGCGCGGGATTGAGGCCGTGGATCGCAGTGGCATTGTATTTGCTACACGAGAAGGCCAAGCCTCACTCGGATTGGAGTGCTTACATTCGTGTTCTTCCACGCACGCTAGATTCTCCACTCTTCTGGTAAGCTCTTTTTTTCATTCGAAAGAAAAAATCGTGAAGATCAAACTTAGCACCCATTTCCAGGTCGGAAGAAGAACTTGCCGAGCTCAAAGGTGTGATGTGGTCGTCGCCATCCTTATCGTGTTGGTACTAACGTTTTCTTCTCCCTTCTTCCTTTTCCAGGTACTCAGCTCCTCAGTTCCATCAATGGTTTCAAGGAATTTCTCAAGCGTGAATATGACAAGGTGATGACGGAGGTGATTGAGCCAAGGCCAGATGTTTTCGATCGTAGCCTCTACACTCTTGAGGCGTTTACCTGGGCTTTCGGGATACTTCGTTCTCGGACATTTCCACCACTTATCGGAGATAACCTCGCGTTGGTACCACTGGCGGACTTTGTAAGTTGCTGCATTGCTTTTTTTTTTCTTGCTCGAAACTGCTTAGTGTTTAATTGACCCCGATATATAGCCGCATTCGCACAGGTAAATCATGGCTTCGGGCTGACCAATGAAGATCCTTACTGGCATGTCAAATCTGCCGGAGTATTCGCTCGCCAAGAAACTTTGACGTTGCAAGCTGCAGCGAATTGTGCTGAGAAGCAAGAGGTGAAATCTCGAGTCTGTTTTCCTGTTTGAAATCTCACCTTTCCCTTGTTTTCCTTCGTAGGTTCTCATGCAATATGGGAAAAAGAAAGGGAATGCCCAGCTTGCCACGGACTACGGGTTTGTGGATAGCGATGAGAAAAACAACCGGGATAGTTTCACATTGACTTTGCAAGTATCTCTTTCTGAGCGTTTTGCCGATGACAAAGTGGACATCGCACAGATGGCAGGACTGGATAGCACTGCTTATTTTAACCTTTACAGAAATCAAGGCCCTCCGGAAGACATGATTGCGTACCTCAGGCTCATTGCATTGTTCGGATCCGATTCATTCTTGCTAGAGGTATTTTGCGAAACTCTCTAGTAGTCATTGTGAGTGAATTCCCTCCGCGTTTGCAGGCACTATTCCGAAACACTGTCTGGGATCACTTGAGACTTCCTATCAGCCGGGAGAATGAGGAGGCTATTTGTGAAGCTATGATCGAGGGCTGTCGAGCCACGCTAAGAGAGTACAGCTCTACTATTGACGAGGTACATATTGTACTTAATTCATTGTCGGTTGATTGCTGTTTTTTCCAGGATACCATGCTTTTGAACTCTAGTGAACTTAGCACACGAAAGAAAATGGCTGTGGTTGTGAGACTTGGCGAGAAGAGAATCTTGCAAGAGCAGCTGCAGTGGTTCGAGACGCATCTCGCAGATCTGGACAGGCTTGAGTTCTATGCGGAGAGAAGACTACGGGACTTGGGATTGCTGGATGACAAAGGCAACATGACGCCATGGGTGTGCTTCTGTCTTTTCCTTCGATTTCAGGGGCATCTCTAACATTCTCATCTCTACAGGTTTTCAAATCTTAGAAACTATCCCATCCAATTGTGGTTCGATACAGCGTCGGTAATTGGCTATCAGCTTGATGTATACTACAGTGATAGAGGTTAGACAAGACATTTGAGTGAAGGAGTGAAGGATATCATCTAGATGTGAAAAAAGCTAATATAATTCATGTTCTCACTATATAACGAGGCACTTTGATAGCTAGATAATCTTTGTTCTCTTCTGCCTTGCTAACATGGTATTAGAGAATAAATCTGGTATGGGATCAGAGGCATTAATAAATTGATTTATGCATTCTTATTTGATATTATAGTTTCTGAGGATTCTTATTCATAACTAATATGCATTTATGTAGAGACTATGATATGAATACAAGCAATGAGATCACATTTTATTATAAATTATCACTCAGATAAGAGAAAGTGTTTAATCTTTTATCCTTAATAACTTTCTTTTCAAACTCAAAACTTTAAGCTTGTGTTTGCATTAATTTCAGTCCAATCTAAGAAGAGCTTATGAAATAGTATGGCAATGACTACTTAATAGATTAATATTTATACTCTTAATTGATCCATTTGTAATTATGCCTAAGAAGTATCATGCTGGACCGACCTATTAACCACTAATTGCGAAAGGTTTACTTTTTACCTAGAGTAACATGCAATAAACATAACCACCAATAAGCTAATAGTAATCCTACCAACTCAAAACATAACTTTAAATTGCTAATATGCCTCACTCATGAGCCTAAACATAACTTGTACAAATAGTACATTTGAAATCCATCATATTGAGCCTAAATAAAAGCTCATATACAATATAGTATAAAATAGTAACAAAAATCCACACCTAAGGGATGTATGCAAAGCCATAGCAACTAAACATGAACCCACTCGAATCATTATTTTCATCTTTACATATGTAATGAGATTAATTGCCCAATTTTATTGGATAATACCCATTGAGACTCAATTTTTAATACCAAATATTGCATATGTTGTTTTCACCCTTTACCTCATAATGAGTACTATAGAATGACCACAGGGTAAAACCAAACTCTTGAACATATGTGCCAAAGGCAACAAAGTGGGATTTAAATACTAGGGCTTTGGGACACTGAATGAAAAAATTAGAGCATAAAACAACTTTTGAGTGTAGAGATAAAAAATAAAAAAGCAAGAGCATAAAACAATAAAGAAAGTCTTAGAGTATCCAACATCTAACACTAAGATTAACATGTCATATAGACTCAAATGAAATCTAGCATTATACCAATAGCTTAATGTAAGTCACCTATCAGCACATTCACAATAAGCACCCCACACCAAAATTAATATATAAAACACAAAGATTAACATATAAAATTAATTTAGTGCTATTAAAGTATACTTATAGCTTAACATGAGGTATTCCACCAACTATAGAGTTTAGTATAGAACAAAGACAAGCAAGATAATGTCTTAAGTTGGATCTACCCACTATCCCTATTATATATTTGGCTCATTCTAGGTTTTCACCCTATTCCCAAGAGTGGGATCTTAAGAATTCAAGAGGCTGACCAGAAAATTATTAACAATTAGGCTTGTAAAGAGTATATTATTAGATTAATCAATTTCATTTATTATTAACCAAATATAAGATTAGATAACAAAAGGATGATTTGCAACCTAAAAAGCCACAAAGATCACAACACATTCCTTTAGAAGTACTTACCTCCCTCTACAAAATGGTTGGCGAGTATCTATCTAAATATTATGAAAAATAATTAAAATATTATATTATATCAGAAGTTGAAATATCTCTCTTGACTGCTAGAAAAAAATCTCCTTAACTCATTAAATATCAGAATTCTAGAAATTCATTTAAGTTATTTTCTATTGGTTTCTAAATAAAAGTAATTAATAATTAAATTCAAGAAGAAAACCAAACATTGCTACAAATAGATGTTTGGATATTGGCATATTACATCATCTTACAGTTAATATTTTATACTAGTAAGGAATCTAGGTTTAGATAAAAATCAGTCTTTGAAACTTTTTTAGTGTGATAGAAAAATTATTGATAAAGTAGTGGGATCATTCAATATAAAGAAACTATAATAACAAAAAAGTTACTAGGATTACAATTTTCAGATTTAGGTAAAAGAACTCTCCCTCCCTCCTCTCTCTCTCTCCCTCCCTCCTCTCTCTCTCCCTCCCTCCTCTCTCGCTCCCTCCCTCCTCTCTCTCTCTCTCTCTCTCTCTCTAAAACATTCATTTATACATCCATCTTATATAAATTTTGATCATATTATGTACATGTGCACATTTAATATACATTAAAATATACTTAGATCATAATATACACAAAACACACTCTTGTATAGATAAACTTTAATCATATCATATTGTATAGCTTAGGTATATAGAGGTATGTATATACTTAAATTATATGAAGTGAAAGTAATAGATTTATTAGATAGGCTTTCAAAAACAATAATGAAATTAAAATTTATTCCTTATATTTTAAATATTGCACAACATTAACAAACCATACATTTTCTTCTATCATCATTTGTATATTCTTGTCAATTATCCCAACAAGGCCTATCATCTTTAACTTCTCATCCATACACTTTACTTTTTGGACTTTTGGAGCATTCCCACACATAAAAGTTGATTCTTCCAAAAAGCACTAATATCTGTAGTAAGGCAGATAATCCATTTTAAAAGCCCGCCTTTATGCAAAAGTTCTTTAAACTTTATGACAGCTATTTCCTCAATTTATGATCTTTCTTTATGACCTTTTCTGTGCAAGAATAGATCTTCAATGTTTAACATATCCAAAGCACTTGTCAAGTTTGTGCTTGAGATAACTTTGTGTTGATAAGGCGAGAATACAGGAATTTGTTACTTTCTTACATTACTAATACAAGTTGCAATTATGTCAAATCTAAACTTAATGACATTTCCACTATAGAGAAAAGGCCGAAAGGATTCTTGCAACAAAACAACAAGTAAATTCATCATTATACAATCAAAAATGTAAAAAAGATACTTATTGTTTTCCTTGTAAAACTTTCTCAAACTACTTTAGCCATGTCAGAAAAGTCATCCCATCGTCCTCTTTAAGCATTTGCTGTACCATCTCACAGTCGTTTGGCCATGGCATTTGCTGTACCATCTCACAATCATTTGGCCTTGGCACTTGTAAAGGATGCTTGTAGACCACATCCACTTTTTCCTTGTAGACCTCTGGGATAAAATCCACTTGTGCTTTATTGTCCAAAAACTCCAAAAGCAAGGGAGCGGAATATGCTTCGAACTTCACCCCTAGGTCTGATTTGTTGCAAACACCCATATCCTTGATCAGCTTCTGTATGTCTCCACTGGCTGTGAGATAGTTCCACAAAGCCCTCACCACGAGTGGTTCTCCAATCTCAACAGTTTGAAGGGAAACCTGTGTTGCATTCTGAGGAGGAGCCGAGCAGAAATCTGCATCCGGTTTGAAATGCAAAGTCTTGTAGCTGCTCGCCACAGTCCCTCTTGGCCTGCCGATCCCTGCTTGTACAAATTTCAAATCACTGTCCGTGACTGCCAGGTTTACAGGAACTCCCGTGTACACCCACAGCAGCAATAAAGTTATGACCACCTCCCAACACCCGGGATGGAATGATGGTAGTGCAAAGAACTTCACAACATCGTCCCACACAGATCTGTTGATGGAGAGGGCAGGGCCTGGTCGCCTACACAAATCATCTGCCTTCTTCATGAAATAGTCTGTGGCGACCAATGGTTGCTCCTCTGAATCCCGTAAGAACATCTCTAACACTGTCACGTAAAACTTGTATCTGCCTCTGTAAACACCAAAGATCGTGCTGAAGTCGAAATCGTCCACGTCTGTCACAAACTTCATTGTGTACTCCTTGATAGATTCAGCGCTAGAAAAGCCCCCAAAGTCTGAGTACACATAATAGCTGAGTATGTCTTTCACGGAGCCTGAATGGGAGTCTAGCATCCTTATCAAATGCCGGCCTGTCCCAGATATTATGGTCTTTTCGAACTTCATCTCACGCAGAGCTAAGACGAGCTTGTCTAGCATCGACCGGTTCACCTCATTCACAGTCTTGCTCGTAAACCTGTTCTCCAATAAACGCGATAGTTCTTGGCATTCGTCTTATCACAATGCCGTCCCAGCCTACCTGTAGTTTCAACTCATCGAGCATGTCAGAAAAGATGGTGCTTGCAGCTTCAATGTCGGATGAATTGCCGATCAGACCGAGTATCCTCTTCGTCAGCTCCCACCATGGATCATAATTCAAGTACGAAAAGTATACCTGCACAACACAAACATTGTAGCTCCCTCACAAACCAAACACGAATCTTACTTGTTTAAAAAGCCAGACGAGCGGGGTAACTTTGACGCCTGCAGAGCGAGCTTCTCTCAAAATGTAAAACCTGGATATGAAAACTGCTGCCAGGCACACCATCAAGGCATCTACTGGAATGACTCCCTCAGGATACAAGCGTTGCAAGAACTTTTTGCAATTTTCCTTTACCTTTCTTATGGACTCCAACATAATCCTTTCCAAATTTCATCCCAAAAGATTGAGTCCTCTTCACTTTTGATGTGGAGTCACTCTACCCAAGCATTCCCACACGTGAGGGACTCTATCGCCTCTACAAGTTTGTATATAGGAATTTTGGAGATTCAATGCAAGCACACTTTAGCATGGTCAACACAATTATATTACGTTCAATGGGAGTTGTTTTCTTCAAATCCAAGGCACTGCTATGGGGTCTAACTTTTCTGTGGTGTATGCTTGCCTTTTTTTTCTGTTCCCTCAAGGACAAGTTTAAGGCCACCTCTTCTAAATGGCCAATATATCTTAACAGATATATTGACGATGGCATGGGAATTTGGGATGAAAAAGAGAGCTTGGAATGCTGGTTGGCTGGCTATGGAAGCCTCTACAACTCTATAAAGAGACATTCTCCATCGCTGCTGTGGAGTAACCAACGGTAATTTTGTTACATTGGCATCTTTACATGGCCACCACACAAACTCACATAAGTAAGAGAGCATATAAGTAGTCATCCCTTATTCATTTGTTTCTTCTACTTGCTCTCGATTACAACATGACAACGGCACATAAAGGATGTGGATTGCATATAGTGGTCTTTTGATCTTGCATAATCACAGCACCGTGTGATCACACGAGGATACAAGAGTCTGAGTGCAACTCAAACTTGTGATTCTGGCATTGCGCCTGTCTTTCAAAGATGGCAGATGAAATCACCTGTTTAGGGTTTAGGGTATCCCCCACACCAAGTGCTGCGTGGGGGCATTGCTACTATATTTGTGTGATGGAGCATAGAGCACACTATCTTGGTCCATATAATGGATTGTCTGGAAAGCTTTGGAAAGGAAGGCTCCTGGGTATCCATGTGCACAAAGCTACAAGTTATTCTCTCATAGGGGAGGTAATGCCAAAGTTCAGCATGAACAAAAGTGTTGAGGATGTGTGGAGCTCCATGGAAGATATTGGTTTGTGTTTAGTGGCTTTTGAAAGGTGGTGGAGTCTAGGCACCTGCATTTTTCAAAGCATGGGCCTTTGAAAAAGTGAATGTCTAGAATATTTATAGATTCGAATGAGATCATTGAGGTCCAAAGAGAGTAGTGTTCTACCTTTGATACAAAATAACTTGTAGACTCAACATGACATCACATATGTGGAATTTAACCTCAACCAAGAATGAAATGAGGTTTAGACATCACTTAGGATTGCATCTGCAAAAGCTTCATCCATCATTTATTTAGGGTTTAGGATGTGCACAGTTAAAGGCAAAAGGGGCCATTGATATGCTTTGTAAGGAGGAGTGTTAGAGGCCCAAAATCAGGTATCCCCATCCACAAAGGCAATGGTAGGATTGTGTTTGCATGGCTATGGCAGTAGATGCATCCCTTTTGAATCCTTGGTAGTCCTTTTATGGCTATGGTTGTTGAGAATTGTTGGTAGTTTTTTCCAAAACCTACCAATACCTACCTTGGACGTCAGTTCACCCTCAACACCAAAAAGTGGCATTCATCTGCAACGAGCTCTGGAGATACCTCCTCCACAAGAACACAACCAAACATGCCAAGACTCAAACACCCTCTACCATCGACCTCCAAGTCCAAGAGCAGTACAAGCCCTAGAGCCAAGATGGTAGTCGTACGGAGTTTCTGCCGATAATGCCTTTGCGGGTGAGCAATGCCACAGGAACCTTAAAGTCACAGAGCAGCCTGTTGAAGACATCCGTAAGATATCTCTCACACGTAGCTCATCGTCTTGGAAGAATACCAATCCTCGGTTTTAGCCGCAGCAAGAACTTCCAAGGCTAACAACACGATCCCCACGCCAAAAAACTAGCCAGAGACTGGAAAAAAGGAGAAGATTTTCGTGCAGAGAAGAAAGGAAAACTCATCGTCGGAATCGAGTTTATAGCGTCACCAGCGTTGCCTTGGACTCTTGCCGTAAAGTCCTCTACGAGCTCTCCATTGAGCTGGGCTTGACTGGACGCTCTCAGGGATCAATGCCACGAGAAGCTCTTCGAGCGCGGGTGGGTCTCATGCCTGGATTGAATGAGATCAGTGCTGGAAATAGGGAAAACTCCATAGATTGACTCACCTCCCTGCTGCTGGAGCTCCACCTTGTCAAGAGATGGATCCATTTGCCTGCCTGCCCGTGAATGGGAATGTGAGTGATGACCTTGCTGTGATAAGGGAAATGCTAGCCTTGCGAAAGAACGAAGAACAAGGTAATCTTCCGGTGGAACGTCCATCTCCCCGGAAGAGAGCTCCACCGCCCTCACGCAATGCCCGTTCTGGGCAAATCCTGCGATCATGAGTGTCCACGAGAAAACGTTCTTGTTCATGATTTGCCACGTAGCGGTTCCGCTCCTCGTGACTCTCGAGCAACAGTACCAGATTTTCTTCCCCGACTCCGATCGATCGATCGATAGATCTAGCGAGCTCATCGGAGGTACGCGTTGCGATCGCCGCGACTTGGCCCACGGGCGGCTTGCGTTGCAGCTGGAGGTAACGACCGATTGTTGGAACATCTTGGAAGATTAACTTCTTGTTCGGCCCTACCTAGCTATCGATCTTTTCTTCTGGGTCTTCTTTGCTTTCTTCTTGGAAGCTAAAAGATAGGAATGAAACAAACACTTGATGGGCGAGGTGGAGTACTATGCGTCGCGGCTGCGAGAGATCCAGGAGCTCGACCACGGCAAAGCGATTCATGCACAGATCTCGGCCAGGTACCACAAGGTCTCTACATTTCTGGAAAATCTTCTTGTGAAAATGTATGGCCAATGCGGCAGCATCGAAGACGCGAAGGCTGTCTTTGATGGAATTCGACCCAAGAATGTGTACTCCTGGAATATCATGATTGCGGCATATGCCGTGAACGGGCATTTGATTGAGGCAATTGGTTTGTTCCAGGAGATGGCGGTCAAGCCGAGCAGGGTCACGTTTCTCAGCGTTCTAGCGGCTTGTGCGCAATTGCGGTGCCTAGAGATTGGCCAGGAGATTCACGCGAGAGCTCTTTGCAGCGGGTTTGGATCTGACACCACAGTTGCGAACTCGCTCATCAATCTCTACAGCAAGTGCCAGAGATTGGAGAGCGCGAGGTACGTTTTCTCCGTCATGCCTGACAGGAATGTGATCTCCTGGACGTCGATGATTGATGCGTGCGTGCAGTGTGGCGACCACCGTGAGGCTCGTGCTCTGTTCCTACGTATGGATCTCGAAGGAGTGAAGCCCAACGAGATGACTTTTTCCAACCTCTTGAGCGCGTCCTCGTTGCTCGTCCAAGGTCGGTCGATCCATGCTCGTCTCGTTGCTTGTGGATACGCAACTGATGTTGGTGTTTGTAATTCTCTTGTGAGCATGTATAGCAGGTGTGGGAGCCTTGATGAAGCGACCAAGGTTTTCGAAAATATGCCGGCAAGAGATCGTGTTTCTTGGACTGCAGTGATCACTGCATATGCCCGGGTTGGGCATCGGCACCACTCAAAGTCAGCGCTTGAATACTTTCGGAAAATGGTCGAGCAGGGAGTGGTACCCGATGAGATCACGTACATCAGCGTCCTGGACGCATGCTCCTGTGCGGGATGTCTCGCAACTGGCCGGATGATTCACGAAGACATCATCTCCCAAGGGTTGGACGCACTTCTTCCCGTGAGAAACTCTCTGGTGAGCATGTATGGCAAATGCGGGAGGCTGGACGAGGCCAGGGACGTGTTTAATTCCACAAAGGGGAAGAGTATCGTGTCCTGGACTGCTATGATTTCTGCATATGCCCAACATGGGCATAGTGAAGAGGCACAGTCGGTTTTTCAGAGAATGGAACTGGAGGGAATCCAACCAAGTGAAGTCACCTTCACCAGCATTCTCTACGCTTGCAGCCATGCAGGGTCGCTTTCTCAGGGGCATCGATTTTTTCTGGCTATGGTGGGTGACGAACGGGATATTTCACCGCTTGTTGAGCACTACCACTGTTTGATCGATCTTCTCGGTCGCTCGGGACAGCTCGAAGCAGCCGAAGAACTCATACGAACGATGCCTTTCGAGGCCGATATTGTTCCGTGGATAGCCCTGCTCGGCACGTGCAAAGCTATCCTCAGATTGGAAGTGGGAATGCGAGTAGTGGAAGAGATTCTTCTCAAACTTACCGGGTCCAAGTCCCCGGGGCCTTACATCTTGGTCTCCAACTTTTGTGCTGCCGCCGGGAGATGGGATTATGTTGTGAAAGTTAGAAAGCTCATGAGGGAGACAGGGGTTACACAGAGACCGGGTTGCAGCTTTGTCGAAGTTGGGAACGAGATCCACGAGTTTGTGGCTGGCGACTCCTCTCACGAATGCTACCATGAGATCCACGAGGAGCTCAAAAGTTTGCACTCACGGATGAAACAAGCAGGCTATGTACCAGATACAAGCCAGGTGCTATGGGGTGGAAATCAAGAGGAAAAGGAAAAGAGTCTGTGCTTTCACAGTGAGCGGCTAGCGATATCTTTTGCTCTTGTTGCTAGTCCTCCAGGAACTCCGGTGTGGGTGACCAAGAACTTAAGAGTTTGCACGGACTGTCACACTGCTACAAAGTTCATAGCTAAACTTGCTAGAAGAGAGATTGTGGTTCGGGATTCCAGCAGGTTCCATCGCTTTAGTAGTGACAATGGAGGCTGCTCATGCGGAGACTACTGGTGATCAATTAGTAACTGGGAGACAAAACCAAAAGAAAAAGAGAAAAGTTTTTCATTGATGAGTGAAGATTATGATCTGTGGAAAGGATTAGGACATGCCGTGGCAGTGGAGACTTGGAGAAATAGTTCACGAACTAAAACTAAAACAATGGCAATGTTCATATCATAGCACCATGGAGGTGAAGGGAGAAAAAAAGAAGAAGAAAGACGAGCTCTGTTCTCGTCGACAAGACTCCAACAAGGTACTAAATCCCATGAAGCAGTAGTTAATGCAACTGAGTTGGATATATGTCTTCATTCTTGGGACAACTGCTATGGTTTAAACAAGATAATTACTATCTCAGTATAAAACCATACTTTTGATAGCTTTTCTACAAGCTATAGAATACCGTGTACAAAGTATTAGCTTTTTTGAGTTTTTAGTTGTTTGAATTGCTATATTCATTTTTTTATTCATTAAAAGCTGCATGGCTCATTAATTCTAAATTAAATGGCCACACTTAGTTCCATTTCAAGTTTTCAATGCACAAATCCTTTTGCTCCTCATCTCACGAAGAAGCTCACCATGTCCAGTTTATAGGGGCCTACTTGAACCAATAGCATTAAATTCCTGAGACACATCAGAAAAATGCCCATTAATATTTTTATTTCACTATTTTCTTCTCTGGTCCTTTGAAGAATTGTCTCGTCAATTGAAGTTTTATTTCTAAGTTGAAACAACTCCGATTCCACCAACTACTCTACTGTCTTGTTTAGAACTTCATACACCCCAAGATCCACGGGATGGCAGGTTTTGGTATCTCCAAAAAGAGTTTGTCATTTCTCGGGCACCACCGAAAATTGAATGGTCTAATTTCAATAATAAAGTTGACTTTTCTGCCTGTGGCAACCATAGCCAGCCAGTTAGCCACAGCCTGGCTGTGGCCGTGGCCTTGCCCAATGGCCACGGCCTCAATTGCCAATGGCACTGCTCTGACCTGGCTTGCTATACAGCAATGGTTGCTGCCATGCACACTATAGCACTGCACGACTGGATGGGGGACGTCTAGGGTTTTGCTGTCTTGGTGGTGAGCGTGTGGTGCTTGATCATGTTGGGGCATGCTCTAGTGATTACGTTGGGTGAAAGTGATTACTCAACATCTGGGTTGTGTTTCATTTCTCTCTCTCAATGCAGCAGAATCAGTTTTGAAAGAGTGATCTCAACATAAGTAGGGCAAGCGGGCAATAAAATCTTCTCCAATCCAAGACCTTGGAAGCAAGACGTTTTTCTTTGCCATGCTTCGTTTCCTTTGCCTAGCATTGGCTAAGATTAAAAAATTGTGTGGGAATATAAAATTGTCAAAGTATGCTCTAGAAGTGAACAGCTTTAGAACTGGTGTGGGTTATGCTGATGATGATGGTGGTGATGGGAGAAAATGGACTTAAAGATTTTATCATAGCAATTTAAGTTATTATCTCAAGATATTAGATGGTTTTTGATCATGGTATAGGATTTAAATATATTGTCACCATGCATTTTTGGAACCTTTAAGGATAAAATCTCTCATCCAAGTAATTACCCTTTTCTAAGTTGTTTATTAATCTTCATATAACGTAAATTAAGGGATATAAAAATATTGGCATACCAAATAGTACAAAATTTCTGTTGTAGGAGATGTTTCATCTAATAACTGTATGTAGACTAGTGCAAGGATTGTATAAGGACTTTAAGTCAAAATTATATATAAATTTAATAGTTGGTGGCAATCTAATATACTCATAGCTACATAAGCATCGTATAATTTGTTAAGTAGATTGTTCTTGAACTATACAAATACCTTTGACAGAGTTGTACAATCTACTAACGACTGTCATTATTGAAGAAGCTTCTTTGAAGAAGCTACTTGTTCTATAGCTTCTTAAAAAGAAGCTATTTCTTCCATACTGAAAACCAAGATAAACAAATAGTTGAATTCCTATAAAGGAAAACAAACCTTTTATGCATTGAAAACAATCCACACGGTTTATATTTATCCACGTGTCCACACTAAGAATATGCTTTTTGTATATCCACTTGAATATATTTCTTATATGCGGAGTGACAGGGCTAAAGTGGATATGAACAAATATGAAATATTTGAGGAAAGCCAAGTAATATATATACCCTTAACTAGCTCCTATACAAGCTCTCTCTAGCATCTACATGACATTGGCGCACTCATCATTTTAATTCTGATTTGAATTACTTACTGTTTTTAATAGATTATAATTTACTAGAAATTAAATTTAAATTTTAAAAAATGCTAATGGCTGGAGCTTCCAAAGGTACTCAGTAGATTCAGTCAGGTAGCTCCGGCTCCTGGCACTCAAGTTCCCGCTGCCAAGCTGCTCATGGACGTTCCCGGTGCGATCTTGAAGACATTTTAGTCCATATAAGCTATATATTACTATTGCTTTTTGCTTTTTAAAACTTCACGCCCATGTAACAATTCTTTCGTTTTGCTCCATGATGTACCCAATGCATGAATAAATACTCAAAATTCAAACAGTCGGAACAAGGATTGGACTAGCCAACCTTCCCAGCATCATGATGGTAGCTTGCAGACTATGTGTTGACGCTTTGTAAACCCTGTGTTGACCCTTGAAAGGCTCAAGGCTTAACTAAACCAAAGTTTATTTCATGTAGAAGCTGGTGTAGACTTGAACACAGCCGCCGTGGGTATGCCAGATGGTGGTCAGGGTGTTTCTGCAGGTGTCGTTGTCCACATCTTTCGGGATCAAACCTCCCACCGCGGCCGCCAGATCCCCCAGCGACCCAGCGATCCACGGGACTCGGGGCTGTAAGTCGAGTCTCGGAACGCTGGAGCTCGTGTTGCGTTCGAAATGCAGGCGCTCGTCTCGCTGATGAAAAGCCCTGGCCAGGTGATCGATCTGCAAACCCTCCAGAAATCTGCGGATCGACTCAAGGATCCCTACTCGCGGCTTGTGCAGAAGATCGCAGGTGTTTCCAGGGGCGAGCTCAAGCTCGTCTCGAGGAGCATCGCGGATAGCCCTTCAACCATTATCAGGAGGTCAGAGGCGTGGATGCCAACGACCTCGAGCAACGAATAGTGCGCTCCCTGGCGTTGAACGTTGACTATGGCATTGCTAGGGTATCTCCCCCATCCCCTTGCCCATACTGGGCAAATGCTTTCACGACGGAATCCCAAGCTTTTGCAGATCCTGGGCATCTCCAATTCCGCTCAGGAGCAGCAACTGCGGGCTGCCAAGAGCACCCGCGGAGAGGATGATCTCGCTACTGGGTTTGGAGCTCAGAATCGCTCTGTGTTCATTGCCAAATTCATCCATAAACTGGACTCCAGCAGCTCGTGGAGCTCCGCTGCCTAAGAGACAAACTTATGACACCTAAACAGCAGAAAAATCGAAGAACAGTGCGGGAAGAAGAAGAAGTGTACCTGAAGACCAGAGATGTCGTCGCGTACAGCAACACTTCGAACTTGCTGGGATGTGCATACTCGAGGAGATCCGCCGAGGAGTGCCGGACGCCATCGCTGTCGAAGATCACGCCGCCAACCTTGGTGCCCAGCTTGTCGTTGTCGGGCAGCCCGGTCTCCACCAGCGCCCGCTTCAGAGACCGCTGCCAAGCCGGGATGGCGGGCTTGAAAGCCATCTTCCTCTCCCGTTCGAGCGAATCCAGCTCCGGGCCTGCTCTGCCGTTTACCACAGTTTACTAAACTTGACTATTTTGACTAAGGAGCCGGCGTGTGGTTGACCTACTTTGACTGGTGTTCCCCGCCGAGGACTCGCCCCCTGTGGCCCGGGACGCCATCCCCCGGCAGGAATGCTTCAGCCGGTGAGGTTTTGTTGTCGGCTTTGAAGAGGTTCACGTGGAATCCTTCCTTGCGCTCGCAATCTTTTCTGCCATAACGGGAGCCTCCCCGCTCCAGAAGCAGCACCACAAACTTCACTGAGAGTGTGGCTGCTATTGGGCAGCCAGAAGCACCCCCGCCAACAACAATGTAGTCGAACTGGGCTGCGGAATCGAATGTGGATGCATTCCTACTTGTTCCTCGAACCTAGTAAGACACACAGAACGATTATCAGTCCAGACTTTGTACAGACTCCAGAAACAACTCGAACTGAATTCACGAGCAAAGCAAACATGAACAAGAACACGAGCCGACCCAGTACTAAACCCATTCCTGCTGATCGACTTATAGCCAGAGATAGCTTGCAATGTCGCCTGCCTTTGCATTAATTCATGCCGAATACGTGGGTGACGCTGCATGCCTGATGGAGAATGGTAACTGATATCGATGGGTTGACGAAAGCTGTGGACAGCGGTTATCCAGCGCTTTCATCAGAACTTTCGGATTTCAACATGTGCCTCTGACACTGAAGTCTGAGTCCCACTAGAGTTTCTAGTATATGGTAGAAAAATCTAACAAATAAAAAATCTCAAAATTCGAATCTGCTCTGAAAAGGGTACAAGAATTGATACCAAGACGTCAAGAAAGCCTGTAACTCTTTCAGCATTTATCACAATAGCCATGCAAAATTTGCCCTCACTTTCTTCCAGGAGATGAAGTTGGAAGGAGCAAAGCCCTCCTCTTTTGCAATCGTTCTCTCCCAGATTGCCATTCTTGGACGTTGCACTTCCAAAACACAGAAAAACATTACGGGTGCACAAATGATGATAAGCTAAATTGGGTTAGAGGAGCTCGGAAAGTACAATTTGGCGCATGCGGATCGAGGGATGACAGCCGACGCCGCAGACCCGGGGGGGAGGAGCTGTTTTGGTGCTCACAGTGCGCTTCCATCGCGGCATTCATTGAAGAGGTGCTTGCTGGAGAGAGGGGCAAGCGCAAGAGCAAGGCCAAGAACTTCCATCTGGTTGGCAGCGCTGGTACGATTCTCACACTATGGGAAATCCAAGCACCATGACTTCGCAAAGCAGGGAATCTACGTGTATATGGAGGCGTAGACGCTACGGGACTGCGAGGACTGCGCCAAGGCAGTTGGCTTAACCATCACGGACATGCCAGCTCGGTAGTACTACTACTGCGGCCAGAGACATCTTTTACTCGGACACTATCGACGCAGGAAAGAGGAGCTTAGCTCTCCCTGCAAGTGAAGAACGAGCTGGATACCTGCAGAACATGTTGTACAGTTGGCTGGAACTACAAGACGAGAAAGCAAAGATTGACCCACCTATAGTCAAAGATCATATTCGCAAAGGCATGGTCGATGAGGTCCCTGAGCTTACTTGCGTCGATTATGTTGAGTTAAAGGCGGATGAACTATTCAAGCTCGACACTGAAGAGAAACGTGACAAGGCTGCAGGGCTCAGAGCCTGGAGGTTAGTATGTTTGCTCATAGCGGGACACTTGTTTCGAATGGACAGACAGATGCAATAGCGGCTCACATTGAAGTCTTCGTTCTTGAATACACCAGCCCTTGTCGCGGGACGGTGTGTTTTAGATGAAGGAATTGAAGCTCAGGTGGACATCCGACCGGCCAACGTGATTGCCGTGCACAACCGGCGGGTCTATTCGGATCCTACAACCAGTCTGCTCAACATGGGAGGCAAAGCGTCGGAGGACTGGGATAAGCTCGTGGAGAATGCGTACGTGCGGCCCGTGGTTAAGAATCAGCAATCGGGGACGCTTTTCCATGTTGGGGAAGGACAGGTTCCATCGACTTCAAGCCCGCGAACTTCAAGCCGGAGGGTCCGAATGTTTCAAATGTGCGTCAAGCTTGACCATCCTGTGAAGTGGGATGGATAGAGGAGCTTATGCAGCAACTCGACAGGTGGAACCCATACGCTGTCATCGAGTATGAGCTGGTGTTCGTGGTTCCTTAAAACATCTACGGTTCTTTCTCCGAACATTTCTGGTGAAGAACGGGTATGAGAAATGCCCTGCAACCAGTGAAGCAATTTGTACTGAAGATCGACCTGTAGACTTCGGAATAACAATGCGAACCAAGAAGTTCACCAGCATTCTCTACGCATGAAGTCATGCACCAGCTTGATGGCGGCGTACACGCGTAATGGCAAGATCCGCGAGGCGATGTTCCGCCAGGGTCGCTTTTCCACCCCCACACAAACAACAAGTCTTGGGCTTTTTGCTGGGAGGAAGTTAAAAATCTCACGTTAACTGAGATTTCATAATTTCATAACTGCTTCAGTTGAAGTTGGGAACTTCACCTATGTTGAAGTTGGGAACGAGATCCACGAGTTTGAAGCTTGCGACTCCTCTCGTGAACGCTACCATGAGATCCGCGATGAGCTCGAAAGGTTGCACTCTCGGATGAAGGCTACGTACCGGATACAAACCGGGTGGAAGAGTCTAGCGATAGCTTTGGCTCTTGTTGCTACTCTTGACCAATTTGTACGAACTATCAGACTGCTACTAAGTTCATAGCTAAGCTCTCTGAGATCGTATTCTATCAGGTTCCATCGCTTTAGAACGATGGAGGCTGCTCATGAGACGTGATTGATCAGTGAGGGGACATATGTTTCTCGTGGAGATTATCAACATGCCGTGACAGTGAAGACTTGGAGAAATAATTTTCACGAAGAGAAGCTACAAAACAATGCGAGTACAAAGCGGAGTGCGATGTCCGTGTCACACAACAGTGGAGGCGAAGGGACAAAAAAAAAAGAAGAAACCGTGTTCGCCTCCAAAATGAAAACAAAGTGGAAGATATGCTCGTCCATCATAGTTTTGCGGAGCTGCTCGAGTCGATGATGTTGACAATTACTCTCATTGCGAAGTGAAAGATTGCGTGCCAAGATGAAAGCGATGGTGATTCTCACGGACTCTCCTCGCTCGTGGATTCCCTGCTAGAGGATTCATTCACCAGGTCAACGGGAATCCTTCAGTGGTGATTTGCGAAGAAGCTTTGGAAGCATGCGCTTCTTTTTCTGGGGAATCTGTGCAAAGACACGATTGGTCCTCTTTCTTTGCAGTTTCAAATTAATTTCCTCAAGAGACTCTACTTCTGTTTCTTTTGGTGGATACTCTCTCACTCACACTCAGGTACATGTTCTACTTTTCTTCTTGGGAGAAGTCTTACGCTTCCTCTTGGAACAGGAGAAAGATTCTAACACACTTCGCATCTTGGACAGAGCGAGGCCTATGGCGAGGGCTTCTTCAAGAGCGTTGCTTTCGAGTTTTGAGCCCCACACACCTGGAGGTGAAGAACTCTTAAACTCGATGGTATGCTTCATGAGCAGTTCAATCCACTCAGAGAACATCAGAAGAATCCTTCCTAGCGTAGCTCCATAGATTTGCTTCAGCTGCTGGAGCATCTTGTTGCACAACCCACGGCTTTCAGGCCTCGACTTGAAAAGTTTCCAGGCACCCGCTTTCCAGGCTTCGTTCTCGACATCCAGAGCCGCTGGAAAGTAAGAAGTCCCTGCTCAGACTGAGCTTGGTTTGGTGCATTTCCTTATGCAACAGGACTGAGCCAGATTCTGAAAATGAAAGGCAGTGCTCGCTGCTTGCAAGTTGGACAGACGATCAAGCTCGGAGAGGGGAAGCTATCAGTCGAAGTGCTGGCAGAGGTGTGCTGCCCCTGGACGTCCGTGTACAAAGTGGACGATGCTGCACATTGCCATTAGCCGATTATATATCTTCATGGAATGAAGAAAGTTGTATTGAAATTTTAATGTGAAATTAAATATAAATGAAATCATTTAGTACTAAATGCAAAAGTTTTATTTAGTAAAGTGTTTAAAATATTAAAAAGAGTGTTAAATAATGCATAGTTTACACAACAGTATTTCTCCTCTTTGGGCCAGTGATTTGCGTTTGAGCTCCTTGAATGGCCTCATTGGTGACTGTCTGGGGCTGCTGCTGGCCTCGGTGGCCTGCGTTTTCCTCTACTTTGCAGGGTTGAAGTGTTTGCCTTGGAACTCTGCTGCAGCGAAAGAAGATGTTGATGCTTGCTGCCCGCTCCTTGCAAAACAACAGTGATGCCCTGTTTAAGATGAACGAACTGCATTGAGCCTGGGTATGCGAGAGTGCGGACGATAGTTTGGTTGACAATCTCGCCTCTGTTGTCAGCTCGCGGACGACTTGTTAGCATCTTGTCCTTCGAGGCTTGGAAGAGGTGATCGTTCAGTGGCAAGGAAGATAAAGAAAAAGAAAACGAAAACAGTTCCAAGACATGAGCTTGCATGGAGATTGGAGAATGGAAGGGACTGCGATGTCCGTGTCACACAACAGTGGAGGCAAAAACAAAAGAAAGAATAAAGGAGCTCAGTTGATATGCCTTGCTCATGTTGACGAGACTCATTGTGCGCTCCAAGCCGCTCGAGATTATCAGTGCTGGAATCCGGGGAAATCACCGGTGTTGACGATTACACTCCTCGCGAGGACGACTTAAAGATTTGCGTGCCAGGATGAAAGCGATGGTGATTCGAGAATAACATGATTCTTTCAACGAGAATCATCCAGTGGAGGATTTGCTACGTGGACCGGAAGCATGGGAAGCATTAAACTATCTGCGGAGAAGGGAGAAGGCCTCTCTCTCTCTCTCTCTCTCTCTCTCTCTCATAAATCAGGTACGTATCTTACACTTTTCTTCTAGGGAAGGGAGTAACATTTTCTCTCGAACAGGTCCCCCCATGGCATAGAAAACACATCCTTTTCTTCCTGGCGGACTACTTTGCATCTTGGACCGAACGAGGCCAGCTTTTTCCAACCATTCTACTATTCTTGCAATCAAGCAAACTGTGATACTTCTCACATCGTAGCTGCAGGTTCTTATCATAGCGCTCTTCTTCTTCTTTTTTTCCTTTTGCCTTTTCTCATTCTCACTCACTCTTTTGATTGCAGTAGCGTTTTGCAAAACCAATTTACCGCTGCTCTTCAGCCTCCGTCACATCTCCATCGTCCTCCTCCTCGGAAGCAGTGGTGGCGCTAGCTTTCCTGGGGCTCAAAACTTCCCCCTCTTCCTTGGAGGATTTTAAGAGCTCTTGCTTCTCATAAAACACCATTGGCTCAGCTGGGGAAGCGTGGAGATTTGCAAAGAAATCTTGAGCCTTGCTTTGCTGGAGAGGAGTACTTTGCATACTCGGTGCTGCTTGATGGTGATCAAACACTGCATACTCTGGAGGAACCCAGATGCTCCCAAGAACAACAACTTGAGGGGATTTCTGGGCT